GCTCTTCCTGATGTGTTATATGGAGCACACACACTATTTCCTTTTAGTTTCTATCCAATATATATAGACTGGGCAATGAGGAATTATGATGCTATGAGGTGACAAGGAGTTTTATGGTTGGCTTTGGAGCTTAAAGGATTGATGGTGGAACTGGAACTGTTTTTTCATTCAAAAGATTCAATATGCTTCTCCTTCGGCCCTTTTGTCATTTTTTTTTCCCTGCCTAGCAATAAACATAGCAAAAACTATTGAGTGCCTTCAGGTGAGAGAGGGACAATAGCAAGGATTTTAAGTGCTTTATTTCCCCACTCAAGCTGTCATTTGATTGTAAGAGCATGGTGCCTGTTTCTTTTATCCCTTATATTTATTTCTACACGATGGGTGAATGAGTGTACAGAGATGGATTGGACTAGGTTATTACTTTCTGACCTTTGAAGGATTAGAAGAGCCATCAGAAGTCCAGCAACTAGAGTTGATAGCAGTCTGTCAGTGACTGCAGTGGCTGAGTCTAGTAAGAAGCCAGCACTGAGGAGCAACCTACTTGACCTAGCCCAGCAGTGAATGAACCCAGTATTTTCCTGCAACAAAGGAAAAATTAGTATAATGTGTATATTACACCTCTATTCCCTCTACTAGTTCTTCCGCAGCACTTCCATCATCCCTGAACTTGGTTATATTCTCCTCTCTTCCCTGTTTCTACCTCTTTGTGATCAAATTTAACCTTACACTATCCTCTACTCTAAAATTATGTTCTTCCCTGATAGGTACTTTCAAACTTTCTTGTCTCTCTTCAAGCCATCCACAGTAACCTTCAATTCCTCTTTTTCCAAATCTTTGTCTTATATCACTCAGATGTCTCCTTCTTCACTCCAATCTCAGATGAAGTACTGGCTGATCTTCTTGCCAAAGTCAATCCCCAATAAATACCCTTGATCCCATCCCCTTCCAATTTCCCCACATTCACTCTCTTCTCTACTCTTCTTTATTTCCAGTCTTTCTCTATTTATGGGCACTTTCCCTCCTACCTAAAATTCCAAGCATGCTTCCCCATCTTTAAGAAACCAAAACCAAACAAAAAGCTAACTCTATCCTGCCATCCCCACTAGCTATTATCCTGTATTTTGATTCTCCTTCATGGCTTAATTCCTTTAGGAAGCCATCAATAATCAGTGTCCTTACCTTCTCTTACTATATTCCAAAGTCTTTGCAATCTGGCCTCTGATCTCATCAACCAACAGAAACTGCCCTCTCCAAAGCTGCTAATGAACATTTAATTGATTCTCAATATAATGCTGTTTTCCCAATTGTCATCCTCCTTAAACTCTTTGACACAGCCAATAATTTTTCTCCTATATATTCTTTCCTTTATGCGTGTGTGTGTGTGTGTTATATAGTGTTATTTCTTGGTTTTCCTGTTGGGTATCTATCATGCCTAAGGTATCATATTATGCCTACTATCCTTGAATGGTACTCAAGGCTTTGTTCTGAACTCTCCTTTTTTCCCCTCAATGTTATCTCACTTAATGTTCTCATTAACTCTTAATGGCTTCAATTATTATCTCTATTCTGACAACTCCCACTTCTATATAGTAAGCCCTGGTCTCTTTCCCTAGGTTCAGTTCTGCCAATTGGACATCTCAGACTGGATTTCCCTTAATAAAATTCATGATCTTTCCCTCCACACTTTCCCTTCTTCTGTACTTCCTTATTATTGCTTATAGTACCATCATCAACCCAGTCATGGAGTTGGGGTCCCAACATTTGATATCATCTACAACCAATCACTCTCATTCATCCTTTTTGCCTCTAAGTCATCTGCCATATATTTTCCTTTCTCTCCATTCACAGAGCTGCTATTATAGTTCAGGGCTTCATTGCCCCCTGTCTGAGCTGTTACAATAATATTCTAAAGAGTCACCTTGTTTCAAGTGTCGTTACTTTAAGCTGTCATCCAAGTAATTGCCAAAATGATTTTGTCTAAAGAGTAGGTCTCTGCTCAGTGACCTCTAGTGGCTCCCTATTTTCTGAAGGACCAAATATAAACTTACCTTTTTTGGCATTTAAAGTTCTTCATAACCTGTACCCTTTCTATCTTTCTAGTCTTCTTACTCTTTTCTGCTTTCCACATACTTTAATTTTCAGCTCCTACTTAGGGTTCCTTGATCATGACACTCCATCTCCGTTTCTTTGCTCTAGCTATCTCCTATTCTTGGTATTCTCTGCTCCTTCCCATCTCAACTTTTAGTTTCTCTGACTGCTTTCAAGGCTTATCTAGATAAAACCTTCAAATGCCTTTTCTTGATCCACCTTAGCTGTTAGGGCCTTCGCTTCCATATACTCTGAATATTTCTTGAATGTGACTAGCTATTTACATATTATGTTCTTCATTCAAAAATAAGTTCTTTGAGAGCAGGGATGGTGTTTTGTCTTTCTTTGTATTCTCTGCACTTGGCATATAGTATGAACACAATAAATGCTAGATGAGGGGGCAGCTACGTGGCATAGTGGATATGGCACTGGCTCTGGAGTCAGAAGGACCTGAGTTCAAATCTGATCTCAAGATATTTGATACTTACTGGCTGTGTGATCCTGGGCAAGTCACTTAACCCCAATTACCTCACCCTCCCAAAAAAAAAAATGCTTGTGGATTGAACAATTAACATGAGAACCAGCACAATACATGATCAGTCTGTTGTTTATCCCACATTTTTACTTCATAACTGATCCACCTCTTTTTCTGTTTTTATGTCTGTTGGATATAGATTATACTACTTCTTGTGTATACTACTTCATGCATTCATGATCAGATTAAATCAAAGATAATTTCTTTCTTTTTTTTTTTTTGGCAAGGCAGTTGGGGTTAAGTGACTTGCCCAGAGTCACACAGCTAGTAAGTGTTATGTGTCTGAGGCTGGATTTGAACTCAGGTCCTCCTGAATCCAGGGCCGGTGCTCTATCCACTGCACCACATAGCTGCCCCAAGATAATTTCTTTAAATGCATTCTGTGCCTTGTCTGCCTTGAATTCATGTCTAACATTAAATGTAAAGGTACTTCATAATAAATATATAATTACTTTAAATTGTACTAGAAAATACATATATACACATACATATATATGTATATAATATTTAATTATTTTCTATTTGAGGTGTGTCTAGATACATTTTATATACATGGAATTTTACAACAAAAAAAGTATTTTTTTATATACCTACAACCATGCTCACACATAGGCTGAGCTAAAAATCACAGTTTAGATAAAGAACTACATGGCAGTGTGTAAAATTATTTATAATTTAAAAAAAGTTTTAATCTTATTTCTTACTTTTATTCATATTAATTTTTTATAACTGCATTTACAAAGAGGGGCTTGAGATGAATTCATTAAGCAAGTCATGATAAAACAGTAATTCTGAAAATAAAGAAGTTATTTTTAAGATTGTGTTTCATAGGATAGTTTCTAAAAGGCCAGACATACGTAATGATGAATGTTTTCTATTTAACAAATAATTTGTGATTAAAAATCTACCTCTTTATCTTTTATGTCTTATGCCAAGGAGAAATGAAGTTTTGTATAAAAATTGGGATAGTTGTCTTGTTTGAATATAAATTTTGTAAGATTTAAGAAAATTTACTTTCAAATATGATAACCTTGTCCTTAAAGCCTTATTCATTTTTTTAATGGAAACTAAGTAGCTTAGTTTATGTTTAAAAAAACCTGCAAATCTGCCAAAATACAATGAATAAGTAGCCTGTGCTCCTGAGCTACAGAAAACAAAAGTCTCTTTTGTTTTTTCTTGGTTCCTCTCTTTGAATGTTATCTATTCTGAAAGTGCTTGTAGAATAAGGACTACAATGAGAGAGAAAAAAATTCTTGCTGAAATAGAGGAAAATGCTTAAGACTATGTAACATCTAGAACTAAATTGGATACACTTACCAAACAAGAAAGTTCATTTGGGAGATCAAGGATGAACAGATGAAGAGGCTTCAAACTGTCCTCAGATGGAAGGAGATTTCAATTCCCCATGTTCTCTTCATAGCTATAGTGACTCAATAACTCAGAATGTCAGAAGTTACAAAACTCCTAGCAGCCTGTCCTTAGACTTTCTAATACACAATTTGTTTAAGAGAGCTTAGATATATAGGTAGAAGTATGTTCATATTTATTTAGGACCATATATTACCTGTGATGGTATGAATTCAAGTATACAGTTAATGTTTGCTTGCCTTTTGAAGGATGAGGATGCCTACATAATTTAAAAAACAGATTCAAAAATCATTTTTAGTTAGGTTTAAAATTGAGTTAGAGATTCATGACTATTTTTTCAATAAGAAATTATTCTACCCATACTATAGATAATTGACTTTAAGCAAATCACTTAACAGCATTAGATTTCAGTTCCTTACTGTTTAAAATTCTGGAGTTGCACCTAAAATTCCCCTTTATATTTCTAACATCCTATAACTCTACAATACATACAATACAGAAATGCATTTGGAAATATAAAAGCATTTTCCTCAACTACTTCTACTCCTGGGCTTGACTCTTTTTTGACTCACCTTTACCATCCAAAGTTGAAACCTGATCAAATAGTGGTAGATAAGGTATCCTTGGTTGATAAGCAGTCTTTGCTGTGGATAACCAATAGCTGATTGTATGCAAAAATGAGCCTCTTAGTCCCTGTTTATCATGAAAGTAGAATAATATGACATAATGAGAGGCTTGAGAAGCTTTAAGTTTTGAAACATGAGCATAAATGGTCTGAACAAAGCTTAATTTTTCCTTCATTATAAAGTATAACAATTTAATCATTTTTTCAGTAATTTGAGATTTAGGTTATTAGCTTTATTCTAACTTTAAAAATTAATCTTTTTATTTGTAAGAATCTAAAATATGATGTTATTATGATCAAATAACCAAGAGAAAGAATGGAAATGTGAATGTAAGTACAGTATTAGAATCTACTAACCACTTTAAAAAAAACCCTCTCTTTCAGGAAAGAACGGTGACCATTAGAAGACAAACTGTAGGAGGATTTGGATTAAGCATAAAGGTAGCATGTCATTTCAGTCTATCATCGCATAGGCCATGCTATAGTGCCTGCCTTATCATGCATTTTATTTTTGTGAATAAAGAAGAAAGCAGATGAGAGGGCTATGAAGCTCCCCCTCCTATTTGGCTTAGGGATCAAATTGGCTGGACATTCCAAAGTATCAGATAAAGTATCTCTTCTTATTGAGTGAGTTGAGAAAAAAAAAATAGTTGGGATTTGTACCTCTCTCTGGCATGGGATTCCATCTTTGTTTTTTGCTCTAAATCCCAGAGCATTTTATAAATTATTTTTGTAGTCAATGAATATACCAAAGGTTGTGCCTATCGGTGGGGGAAACAAGGGGTGGATATCTCCAATAAGCTCTATATCTATTAAGATATGGAAATGAAATTGTATTTGGCTACTTTTCTTGTATTCATTTTCATTATGGGTTTGAAGTTCATTAAAATTTTATCTTACAGAGGCAAAGCATAGGAGAGTCAGAGTTTGGTAACAGCTCTCTGATAAATATGAAGAGAAGGGTAACAGAAGGGGGAGGGAAGTGGCTTTCATTTATATAGTGCCTCCTATGTGCTAGGCATTATGCTAAGTGCTTTATAAATATCACATTTGATCAGATGACTCTCATTTACTCATTCATTTTCATTCATTAATAAAACTGAATGTGTTGTTTCTCTGATATTCATTTAGTAAAGATATAACCATCAATGTAGTTTATTATGTCCTTTTTCTTCAGAAAAAAAATTAACAAGTAGTAGCATTGTATTAATATTGTAATTAAAAAAAGCAAAATCAGATACTTTGTGTCCAATTCATTTCCCTCAAAAAAAAAAGAAAAGGAAGGGGAAAGGAAGGAAGGAAGGAAAGAAAGAAAGAAAGAGAGAGAGAGAGAGAGAGAGAGAGAGAGAGAGAGAGAGAGAGAGAAAGAAAGAAAGAAAGAAAGAAAGAAAGAAAGAAAGAAAGAAAGAAAGAAAGAAAGAAAGAAAGAAAGAAAGAAAGAAAACATTTCTTAAGCCCCTATCCTATTGAAAGTCTAGTGCCTTTATATTTCTTGCTGGGGATACAAAGATTAAACAAATAACTCCTACCTTCAGGCAATTTACATTCTCCTAAGGGCAAGTAGTATGTAAACAGGTAAATATATGCATGATAAATTTGAGGAGAGAGAAAACTAACAATCATTCCTAAGAAATTAATTTCCCAACTTGTCAATTAGCATAGCCATCTTCACATTATGATAGCAGTAGGTAAAAACTAAGGCTATATCTCAAGGCATTAAAAAAAAAGATTCAAGGTATGCATGCAAAGTGAAACTACTATTTGTGTGAATATATGATTTTAACTGACCTTGTAAAAGTGACTCAGAAAAGATTAATATGGAGTTGCCTTGTGTTGCCCGTGATAAGAAAATTGTCTGGTGAAATTATTTTTAATCTGACTTTCTTTTTTGATATAACAGTTATCTTCTATTCTTGAGAAATAAATAATTACATTCTGTTCAGATTTTCTTAAGAATTAAGTCAAGCTAAGGACAAGAAAGTCTTTTTTATGTAGAAAAGATATGTATTTTAATTGCCCTGATATGCTCAAATCTTTTTAAGAAGGTTGAGGGGGCACTTAGGCAGTATATGAAAAGAATAAACAACTTAATTTTTGAGTCACCATATAAAATTCTGTGGGAATGATTGACTTGTTTTTGAAGAGTAATTCTCTGGGCCCTGGCATTCTTCCCACTTTACCTAGTGAAGCTATCATAATATGCACACCACTTGGGAATGTTATTCTTTTTTTTAAATTTAAGGTGCCCGCTTTAACACAGGTCTCATAGAATCTCAGAATAACTTTATTATTGTAAAAAACTAAACATTAAGTGAAACAATGTAAAAGTTAACCAAGGCATTTTTTAATTAAATTTAATTTAAAATGTTTTTTAAATGTACTGAACATTTTACAGTAGAGTTTTTATAGTTCAGTATTTTTTAAAGCTTAATTTTAAAAAAATGTATTCAAGTCACATGACATATAATCAGACTTGGGAATCTAGTGAGAAATGGTATCTGTGTCAAATATTGAGAGTCTGACCTCTGTAGATTTAAGTTAGAAAAGTATCCTCACATTCACTATATAACCTATAAAACTTGTGTCTCTCCCTCTTCCATTTCTCCTCCTCTTCCTCCTTCTCTGTCTCTCTCTGTCTCTCTCTATCTCTGTCTCTCTCTATCTCTGTCTCTGTCTCTGTTTCTGTCTCTCTCTCTCACACACACACACACTACACATACACACACACACACACACACACCTTTCAATTGTACTTCTTGTGTCAATCCATATCTCAAGAATCAATAACATGTACTGCATGTAATTTTGTGTGTTTTAAAATCAATGGTCCACACATATCAGGATCATGCTGGTTCCTCATACTATACATAGCAGGAAATATAGCATATGAAAAAGTGTTTTTCACTACTCTACTTTCACATTATATGGTGGGGGAATAATGTGAATCATTCCTCCAATATCATGTTGTAGATAACAGACTTGCACAGAAAATGGTGAGGTGAAAATGAAAAAGCTGGGGCAGTCATGATTAGAATACAGATAAAATACACCAAAAAATATATAATAGCAAAAGAGCTCTTTCGCTAGGAACAAGATAAAACACTTCATCTCAACCAAGAAGGGAGGAAGTGACTTTACTAAGGGAGGGTTGGGGGTCTGCTTTCAGCTATCTCTATGGTTACAAGCATTAGAACTTAAGGAACATAATGAGTGTGTGTGTATGTGTGCGGGCGCGTGTGTGTGTGTGTGTGTGTGTGAGTGTGCGAGCACATTTGAGGGTAGGAAGGGAAGTAGTTTCTCCTAAATGTCTGCAACTTGAAGCTTTCCAGTAGCTATTCAAAAGCCTATGCTTGCTTCTCTCGACCACCTCTGTCATAGTCTTCATCAACCTTACTGTGTTTTCCATGTATCCCCTCTTATTCAGGTATGTAGTGTCATGCTCGGTATTCTCTTAGACAATCAGGAATTCTATCTCCTTCTATGTACCATGTCAAGCCTGAGGTGTGTGTGTGTGATACACAGTTCATAGATTTGGAGCTATAAGGGACTTTGAAGGTCATCTAGTTCAATTTCCTCATTTTGTAGCTGAGGAAAGAGAGGAAAGAGACTTGTCAAAAGTCACACAGGCAATAAAAATAACAAGTGAGATTAGAACTCATGTCCTTTAAGTCTAGAGGTAATGTAATCCACAGTACCATGCCATTATTATTATTATTATTATTATTATTATTATTGTTATTGTTATTATTAAACTTTATATAGTGTTTTTAGGTTTGGGGGGCATTATCTAATTTGAGCCTAGAACAACTCTATAAAGTAGTGGCAATAGATATATTATCAGTCTCATTTTACAGATAAGGAAGGACATTTTACAAGAAATTGAGGCTTTCAAAAGCTCATAAATTTAATATTATTAGACTCATTAGTTGAACTCATATTTTCCTGATTTCAAGTCAAGCAAACATAAGATATTTTCTTAAAAGTAGGTGTGGCAGTATGATTCTGGATCAAGGAATTGAAAACATTACTGTACTATTTTGGGGGTAAATAAATGATCATTTTTAAATACATTTAAGTTCTGTCCTTCAATTTTTCTTTTTATTTAATATTCAGGCTAAATGATTGTTAAAAATGAAACAATAATACCCCCCCACACACACCCTACAACCTTGCCACATTTTCAGGTAAATAATTATTATTTCTCTTGGTCAAGGCAATAGCTTTTATTAATGGCTTCTATTTTTAAAATGCTGATTTATATGCAAATTCTTCACCAACTAGGAAAAGAATGATCATTATAAGGTTATTTTGAAACCTCAAATTAGGCAAAGAAAGCCCATTTGGGTCTTGTGTAACATGTATGAAAACCATACTAAATTTCCTTTAGTATTACAACTGAATATGTCACTGTTCCCTTAGATTCTGCACCAGTTATACTATGCTATTAAACTTTTAATCCCAGGATCAGTCAGCTAACTTTCAGAGATATTCACTGGTCACAGAATCATAGGCATTAAGGGGAATAAAGTGTAAGAGATATGGAAAGGTAGGTTGAAGACAGATTATAAAGACCAAATAGAGGAATTTATTTTTGATCCTCTAGGTATCAGGCAGCCATTAGTTTGTATTGAGTAGTAGGGAGGTAGGAATGACATAGTCAGGCCTGTGCTTTAGAAAAAATCATTTTGTCAGCTGTGTAGAGGGAGAGATTAGAGGCAGGGAAACTATTATTAGAAACATTTTGCAATCCTGAAGGTGAGAGGTAACAAGGGCCTGAACTAGGGTAATAGATAGAAAAGGTTCTGTGTATTACTAAAAATGTTGGGGTGGTAAAAATGACTAAGATTGACAACAGCTTGGGTCTCTGGGGTCAATTATAAGTGAGGAATTGAAGACAATATAGAAGTTGTGAGCTAATGTGGTTGGAAGTATATTGGTACTCTCAGTAGTAATAGAGAAGTTTGGGAAAGTTGTAGGTTTGAGGGGAAATAAAATTAGTTCTATTTAGACAATGTTGTTTGAGATGTCTACAGGATATCCAGTTTGAAATGGTAATGTAGGTTTTTGAATTCAGAAGAGACACTAGGGTTGGATGTATAGATATGAAATCATTTGAATAGAAGTAATAATTGAACCCATGTCAACTGATAAGGTCCCTGAGTGAGATAATAAAGAATGAAAAAAGAAAAGAGCCAGGACTAAGTTTGGAGGTACAGCCTCAATTTGTGGATATGAATTAGATAATAATAAATCCAAGGAAACTGAGAAGAGTTGTTCAGGGAAAAGAGTCAAGAGAAAGCATTGTCATGAAAACCTAGGGAAGAGATACTATTCAGGAAACAAGGATGTTGAACAGTTTCAAATACAACTGAAAGGTCAAGAAAGATGAGAATTGAGAAAAGACAATGCATTTTGGTAATTTTGAAAAGAGTAGTTGAAGC